GTTACTTGCCCATCTCTGCATGTGACACAGCAGCAATAATATTATTTTCCCAACTGGTAAAAGATCTAAATTCTTCAGACACTTAAAAAAAAGAGGTCAAGGACTATAAATCCAAGAGTTTTTAAAAAGCTTTTAAGAGTGTTTTGAAAAAAGAGGGCCAAAATAGCCAGCGACAGTGAGCATCTGCCTCACTCTTGTAAAACAGTGTTTCAAGTTTTACATTAGAGATATGTAACCTATGCAGAACTTTACACAGATTTATCAATTTACTGAAACTGTAAACATTTTTGATTGAGACTGCTACGTGTATCGATGCCTATAAAATGAATTCTACTGACACAGATAATCCTTTTCCCCTTTTTCTGAAGCAGCAGCATTTGTGCTTTTGGGATTGTTACTGTTTAAATGTCATGGATGCGCTGTCACAACGACAGACATTCATGATTGTTTATTAATTCTGATGATTTTTCATCATACAGTAAGCTGACTTTTGTGTTTTTGACAAAGAAGTAGGTGCTGCTGAAGTCTGAAACACAGAGAGAACTGCTTTGTGCTTTCATTTGCAATTTTAGATTACAGTGTAACAACTTTGTGTGTGGCCATGCTAACCGAATATTGACAATTTTATTATTGGGGTTTTGGAAGGAAGGACGAGAGCTTATTCCAAGCATAGTCTGTATATACCGCAAAGGACCTCCCAGCAGTATTTTGATCGTTGGAGAAAAATTTGTTGTACAACTCAAATTATGTGATTGTGATGTTAGGTTTCTGGTCAAAACAAGTGCCAAAAGAGACAAAGCTGAGTTTATGCTTATTAATCACAAGATTGCTCTGAGATTTGTAGAAACAAATGGAGGAAGAGGGCTTTACCAAATCTATTTAAAGGGAATATGTGGACTTTGTTTTGGCCCTGGCAGAATCGAATGTTTGCTCACATGATTAATTTATTACTTATCTACATTTTAAGGTTGCAGTACAACAAAGGATTAGATTCCTAACTACTGATTATCACTATTCTGCAATAGCAGATACATAATTTTTCCCCTTTTTGTGTCGTTTATTTGGCGGCCTCCAACTCATTTTGCTGTCTACCAACCATCGTACCTGCTGTCTTACTTCCCTTTCGTAATAATTTGTAAGTATCATCCATACACACTGTGCTACAGCAGCTATCCTCTGCATCCAGCCTCACACCGGCACCTGCGCCTCCCACAGCCAAAAAAAAAAAGAAAAAAAAAGACATCCATAAAGACCCATAAAGGTCCACTTTGTTCTGGCTGTCTGCAGATCCTGATGAATGGCAACACTAGCTGCTCCACCAGTTTGACACCAAGTTTTTTTTTTCCTTTCATGTTGGAGAGACTTTCATCCTTTTTACCTCATCAATGATTGGTCCAAATTTTCATAAAGCCTATTCATTCATTAATATTCCTCATCTGGTAACAGTCACGGTTACCAGATGATGAATAGTAATAGTTTTAGCTATCATCTGTCCTTTCCTCTAAAAACAGGTGGACAGTTGCGGTCGTCAGTTAATTATCTTGACAATTTCTGCTTGGATCGCTGAGATATTTATGCAGACATTAATCTTCTTCACATGATGAACTGAAATTCCTCTGGAAACTCACTCGGTACCAATCTCAAAAGCCACAGCTTGAATTTTGGTTAGGTTTGGTTTTTGACCAAATCCTTTTCAATTTGACATTAGCTTTAGCTAATATGTGTTAGCATTCTAATACCATAAAGGAAAACATCATAATTGTAGTCCACCAGAATTAAATTTAACAAAATATTAGGCACGCACAAAGTGATAGCAGAGAATCTGCTCAGACATGGACTCTCTATTTTGGTTATGGTAAGAAAACCATTTCAGTTAGACAAGCAGGGATTCACTACAGCTGAAGAATAAAGTTAAAGCATGGTGCTTGGGCTTTAAGCTTATTGCTCTCTGCAGACATAGAAACAAAAACTGCAGAGTGATAAGTAAACAGTTCCTCGTTAACCTGTGGTTATGGAGGTGTTGAAGCAACACTGACATATCTGAGGGGGTCATGAGAAGTTTGGAGCTGAAACTGATGGCTGAAAAAAATGGAGTGTTTGGTATTACGTGAGATGAGCGATGTGTGATATATGGGCATGATGCATGCGGATTGAGTTGTCTGTCTGAAGCAGTCTGAAGGCGTTGCTCCATTTACTCTGTCAGATAGGACGAATAGTCTGATGTTTAAGTGACATCAAGCACAGACGCAGCCAAACCACACACGGAAATTCATGTGATGACGCGCTGCTAAGTAATGTATCCCCCTTGCTGGTTTTTTTTGGTTGGGCTCTCTTTGTTTTTTCTTGACATGAGAGCCAGCGTAGTGAATCCCTGGCTGGGTTCCCCAGGGAACCAGTTTGAATTCTAGCCCAGAAGGAGGCAAACCCAGGCACGAGAACAAAGGCTGTTTGTCAGCGAGATGATGATAAGTCTGTGGTGATGGTGTGTAGTCAACCAATGTGGACTGGAACAGTTAAAGCTTCACAGCATGGGTAGCTCTATAAGCCCCTATGTATTGGGCTGAAATGACAGGACCTCAGTGGTGTCTGTGTTGACAGACACATAGACAGTTTTCCTTTCTCGCTCGTGACGCACTTTTACTCTTGGAAGAGTACGCCGAAGATTTAGAACTCACTGATCAAACAATGTTGTGCGCACATGCTTATGCCTTATTCAGCAGTATGGGTTTTGTGGTATAGACCATAATCAGTGCTGTTTTGAAGGAACACTTTAGTCCATCTCAAAGTATTGATATATGCAAATGTGCGATGACTAAGAAAAAGATGATCTTGAAGTTGTCTTGCTCAAACTCCTCTCCAGCAGACTG